CAGTCTGTGACTGCAGCAGAGTGGTGGAATGCCACATTATCCCACACAACAATGAAGGTAGGGGAGTTTGATGCCCCTCTCTCCTCTGCTGGCACAAGCTGATTATCTTGGTCATCCAGAAAAGAAATTAGCCTCTCTGTATTGTAGGGGCCAATGAGTGGTTTGTGTAACCGCAAACCATCATTGGACAGCGCTGCACACATTGTGATGTTAGATCCTTTCTGGCGTGGGACATCCATGGTTGCTCTGTCCAATCGCATTTCTTCCCCTTTAGCATGTTTTTGCCAGGTTGAATCCAGCTTCATCCACAAAGATAAAAGTATGTGGAGTTCACCTAGCTTCCATCTCCATCACCCTCTAAATTACAGACAGTTTTACATTATGCTTAACGGTGTATGTACCCTGTTTGGTAACTGAACAGACATCTTACCTGGACATACTGATACCGGAGTTCTTTCACACATTCACGGTTTCTCTCAAAGGGTACAGTGTACAATTGCTTCATCCTTATTTTATGCTTCTCTAGGACTCAATTGGCAATTGTCATTGTGCTGACCATATTCACATTTGCAAAAGTAATATTGTGTGCCAGCACTCTCCCGAATTTCCTGCAGTTTTATTGAATTGTTGGCAACGACCATGTCATCAATGACAATTCCCTGCACATCTGAAAAAGATTTTGCCTCTCCCTCCCCTTGGAGACAACCTTTGGATCCTAAAACAAAACAATTACTGTGTATTGTAATCAATTTTAAAATGTTGGTACATGTAAAAATATAGACATCATATTGTACTGTAATACGTAGTTCAGTTATCATCAAAGGATGCTCATCTCACCTGTTGTTTTGTCGGAAAATTTGTACTATTGGTGCAACTGTGCAGATTTGGTTGCACCCTTTGACCGGCCTCTCTCAAAGACAGGCCATGATTTACAACATGGTCAATAATTGTGGCCCTAATCTCAGCAGAGATCACAGCTCTTGGTTTTCCTCTCCTTTGTCCTCCATGCACTCTCGCGTTCTCTCTACTACTCTACTTTCCCCACCAACCTGATCACCAACAAAATCAGTTCCAAGCTATCCCCTTTTACTAAAACATGCTAATGAGACTAAAGCAGGACACCTGAGTAGGCTTTCAGCTGAAATTGCAATTAGCTTGATTATTTTATTTTCTATATTTCAAAATAATTACTGCATAAATACATGGAAATTACCATCATTCTATTTTGAATGTGCTTTTAACAATTTTGAAAGCAATTTGTTAGCATTTTAAAAAATATGCTGAAAATATATAGTGTTTTGCAGATTTTGGAGTATGAATGACAAAAGTGTTTGTGGATTTTGAGAAATGAGGCCATTGAATTAATTTTGTCTGAAAACAATTAAATTATTCAGTTTGTTTAGCATAAACTTCTGTTTCGCTAAGTGTGTGAACCATTTAGAAAATGTGATTTCAGTATTGAACATTGCTTGTTAGCAATTGAGAAAAAAAAAAACTGTAAATGAGCATTATAGATCAAAAAGTTCAATTTTTGGCACTGGTTGCCTTTGCCTGTGGATAGCATTGCTTTGTAAAACACAATTACCAAACTGGAGATCTTAGAGATGGGTCCGTATTCAATGTAACATTTTATGCACCAACACAGTATAGAAGCTTTTGACATTGGTGGGGACATAAGAGCAGATTAAAATATTTATTTTAATATTAATCGAATTGAAACCAGGATGATTCTGAAATAAAACTTTACTGTTGCTTTGTACAGTCAGTTTAACAACATTAAGTTAAAGCTGCAGTCCGTAACTTTTTTTTTTTTGGTTAAAAATGATCCAAAATCAATATTTGAGCAAGTACATAATCAGCCAGTGTTCAAAAATATCTCCTTACTTTAGCCCGATTCACAATGGTAAGCTTATAATTATGTTTTCTAATTTGAGTGGTACGGGTAGGTTTTCATGGGAAATTCGAGCATGCTGCTGCATCATTACGTCACGTCTGTAAACATAAAGTTTGAGTCCCGGCTAGTAGGCTATTGCATGTGCGGATGCTGCAGGTGGTGGATCGTTAGCCTTTTCTCACAGCAGCTGGAATAATTATTTATCGTTTTGATGGTGGATTGTAATCCAGAAAGGATTATGTGTTTATGAAACCCATGTTACTGAAATTAAATTATTCCAGTTTTAAATGTGCATCTGATTACAGATAGCCTGGGATTTCACAGGATTTGTATTTCAAAGAGAACCAGTTCAAAAGGAAGAATAATTTGCTTTTTGGGTTAAAAAAAATTCTTTATTAAATTCGAATGACAATTAGAGATTAGACTGTACAGAAATTTTATCGCTAATACACACTACATACATGTAGTCACGCAATGCTGATATTGTTAACATTAACAATTTGAGAACAAAGTATAACAATAATAATAATTTGCACAGTTTGATGTGATTATGAGCTAATCAATCGTTAGATTTAATCACCATTGGTAGCGCGATTTATTGTAAAGCTTTTGGTCAGAACAAACATGGCAGACTTGTTACTTGTTCTGATAACAATATCCGGTGAAAATTATTATTTGGGGCATATATTCCAAGACGTAGGCGAGAATCTGTGATTTCTAAATAACATTAAAGTATTCACACCGGTGCGGTGACTGACCACTACACATTCACCTCGAAACATTAGATAATCACAGGTAGGGGAGTTTGATCAGGGTTGGAGCTAATCTCAACAAAACTCAAAAGCAGCGCATTGGCCCTCCAGGGCAAGAGTTGAGGAACCCTGATGTACATAATGGCTTCATCCTAGGCTGTAAGATTGTGTGTTGTGCATCTTTCAGCACAACGTTTGTCTTTCTGTCCATATGCTTTATATAGAGAGCTAATACAGTTTCAACTCCTTACACTCAATTTTTAATTGCCACATAATTTCTGAAACCTGACACTCAAACACCAGAACCACACACCAAATATGCAAAACCATACACTCATTCCCGGCTTTTGACTCATTTAGAATTTCATAAAACCCTTTTTTGCAAAACAAAACACAATTCTCTATGTAACGCACAAAAATCTAACAGGAAGTATCTTGATTTCCTTTTTCAAACACAACCAATCAAAATGCCACAGAAATTCATCAGTGCCTCAAACTAACTCCTAAATGCACAGTTTTCTATCAATGGTATAACATATTTCAGATGTGTCTGAAATTACAAAACATTATTTATATACATAACACTATTCACCAAAACGGTAAGTTGAAAAAAGAAACATCTAAACCTTAATTCGCAATAAAGAACTTCTGTTTTAGATACTCCAGAAATAAAGTCTAACTGGTCATTAATGTGTGAAGTTGATGTTGCTGTTTATGGAGAGGTCCTTTTTTTCTGAGGTCAAAGGTCTCATGTGGGGGCCCTGGAATATTTCCTTATGGGGGTCTTGGGGGCAAAAAAAAATTATATCTTCAAGAAATAGACTGTATTTTAATGTTGTTGTAACCCTTTCCCCAACTAGATTAAGAGAGAGTTAAAGAACTATACAGGGGCTTACAGGTTTTACGGTAGTGGTGCTATATAGCACCTCATTGACTCCAAAGAACCGCTGAAGAACCATACAGGGGCTTAACGGGTTCTTTATACGGCAGTGGTGCTATTTAGCACCTTAACCACTCCAAAGAACCACTGAAGAAGGTTTTTTTATTTATTTATTTTTTAAAGAGTGTAGCATCCCCCCCTAATTCTACGCCCCTGATGTAATGTCAAACACATTTTATTGGCCAGTCTAGCTTCTGTGTTTCATACAGCTCAGTTGATTTCCTATCCACTGTGAAAGCTCTATTCAGAACCGGACTGAAGACTTTTTTTTTCCAGTCAGCAACCTGAATAATTCTAAGTCTATAGAAATTGTAACTCACTGGTGATTCAGACACAGCTGAAAATAAGCCGGAAAATGTAAGGAACTGTGTGTGTGTTTTGGTGGGATGTGGGGTAATGGGGAGAATATCATAGCTTTGTTACTGAAAAACAGTGTTAGGGCAACCATTTACAAATAAATTGCCCAGAGGGAAATCTGCTTTATTTAGTAATGACAGAACTGGTGAGCAGAACAGACCTGAACAAATGAGAAACAGAACAACACGCATGCAAATATATAAACAGAAAACAAGGACATACACAACCAGATGACTATTATCTGTCTTTGTACACAATGGGTTAGTGCGTGTTTTACCGACCCATATGTCCTATCTGTGGGTCAAAGGGGTTAGACATCTGCACTGACTGCATGCTGTTTGTGTCAATCATGTTTAAAATAAATCTGACAGTGTATTGAGTTCACCATCAAAATATCATTAAATCAAAACATTTTATATATATATATATATATAATTAAAATTCTAAAAAAGACATTTGATGTCCATACAGTTCTTGTGTATTCAGATGTTTTATGTCTCGATTAAGGCAACTTTTGGGGGAAAAGTTGTAATAAAACGAGAGAGGCTACAAGAGAAGCAGAGAGAGAAGATTAATGCTTAATAATTACATCAACAGGACCATGAAATTAAATCTGGAATAGCTTAATTTAAGATGTGGCTGGTAACGTGCTAACCCAAACCACATCAGCAGTTCAGTTTACTGCTCTCCAAGAATGGATTGTGGTCTTGTGAGGTGTGAAGCACCAGCTGTCCTGGAGGCTCCGCTTGTCTCAACTTTAAAATGTAACATTCAAATAACAAGAAACTACATCACAAATATAAGAATTAAAGTCACAATAGGCCCTTTTCATAAGAATTGGAAATTACAGTGATGCAGAGTGAAGCTAGTTCCATGACTGGTCAGTACCTATTATATTAGGATGCTCGCTTCTCAAATAGCACTTCCTACCTATCTCCTTTTTGTTTGTTTTCCAAGCGGTTATAATTGACAAAGAAATAAAAAATGTCTTTTCTAACTTCTATGGCCACTCGGAGCACTAAGTCTTTGAGATAATACCTTCAAATTTACCATAATACACTCAAATGTAAATTGTGTGGTTTGTATTCTCCGTCTCCGTGTCAGTAACATCATATTTACTCATTCAGTCATTTCAACACATCATGAGAAGTATAAAAATGACAACATTTATTCCCAGTACAGGCAAATTTTTCAGAAATCAAATCAGCACAAACTTTCCTGTTTGAACCACTTAAACACTGTTGCGCGTAATCTTAAACACGTGTAATGTTTCTCCTTTTCTAATGATATTTTTCCCCATTGATATTGTAAGAGTAAATGTATGTGAATGACCAATCACAACACCAGTACTGCACATTGAATATTTCTCTTTACATTTTAAAATCAGTCAATACAGCCATGCATTTCCAAAAGGTGCTTCCATGCATTTCCACTTTGCACAGAAAATCAGAACATTATACTATATAGGGTATAGAATATAAAAACGTTTGTGGAGACAAAAAGAATACATGAGGGGAAAACGAAGCTTAAGCATAACCCTAGCTGGATCTGGACATAGCACTCTGTCCACCTCACAGGCTGTATCATCTCTCGCAAGATAGTAAGGGAATCTTCTTGAATGCGGAATCCATCCTTGCACAGATCCTGCTTCAATTAGGTCACAGGCCTCTTCCATTACTTGAATGAAGAGTATCCTGTCATAGGGCTGGAGGTCATAAACCTTCCACCACCACGCCAAAAAGAGAAACGCACACTCCTCAATGGGTTTAAGAAAGGGAACGTATTGTGGGAGGTAAATAGTGGACTGAAAATCATGAACATTCATAAAACCAGTTTTGGACCAGAGCAGCAAAGCAGATCGGTGGAATGACACATTGTCCCAGACGACAATGCATCTCTTCTGCTCTGCATCCATTTGGTCCTCTGCTGTAACAATGTTGTGTAGTCCATCTAAAAATGTGAATATGTGGGCTGTGTTGTAAGGACACGTGTTGGCATGGCAGTGGAGGACCCCATTCTGGGTGATTGCAGCACACATTGTGAGGTTACAACCATGTTTGCACAGGACATTCAAAACACCTCTGTGGCCAATGAGGTTTCTTTTTTTTTTTTTTTCTTCTTCTTCTTCTTTTGTCAGGTTAAACCCAGCCTCATCTATGAAGCTGAATTCATGTGGGATTGGATCAGCATCAATTAGCAAGACGCTCTCTAAAAAAAAAAAACAACAACAAAAAGACAACATTGTGTAGTTTAACATACTTACTTCTATAAATGTACATGTAAAAAGGTTTTGTGGGCAGTGCACAATAAATGAACGGTACATTACTTACCTGCAAATATTCATGCCACAGGTCTTTTAGTTTTCAGAATTTCTTTCAAATGGAGAAAAAAAAAGAAAAAAAAATTGCAGAAAGTTAAGGGTTCACCCAGTGTTGACAGGGAGACCTGATGGACATTATTAAAAATTGTGTGGTAATTGAGGATGCTTGATTGTATTTCTGAGCCGTATTACATTTTTGGCCAAAACCACATTTACAATAGTTCTCTCTTGTTCCGGAGTAAATATGGGTCCTCCTTTACATTCTCGACCCTCAATCCTTAGTAGATCAATCAAAATACATGTAAAATATGCACAAGATATTATTTCAAATGTGGAATACAGTGAATGGGTACTCATAGCTCATATAGTAGGCTACATTATAATGTAGACCGTAGAGACAAGTTGTTTTTTACCTGTGCTCTTGTTGAATTGTCTGAATGACTATAGCAACAGTATATCTGCTGAAGTGGGGCTAAACTCTGTCCAGCCTCTCTGTGTCCACCCATATGGTTAACAACAGGGGTGCCCAACCCTGCTCCTGGCGATCGACTGTCCTGCAAAGTTTAGCTCCAACTCTAATCAAAAACACCTGCCTTTAATTTTTAAGTGATCCTGAAGACCTTAATTAATTGCTTCAGGTGTGTTTGATTAGGGTTGGAGCTGAACTTTGCAGGACAGGCGATCACCAGGAGCAGGGTTGGGCACCCCTGGTTTACAACATTGTCAACCAAGGTTGCTCAAATCGCATTTGAGAAACATGGTCCTCGTCGGGGAAGTCGTGGCCTAATGGTTAGAGAGTCGGACTTGTAATCCAAAGGTTGCGGGTTTGAGTCTCGTACCGGCAGGAATTGTTGGTGGAGGGAGTGAATATACAGCACTCTCTCCCACCTTCAATACCACGACTGAGGTGCCCTTGAGCAAGGCACGACCCCCCAGGCGCCGCAGCATAAATGGCTGTCCACTGCTCCGGGTGTGTGTGTGTTCACTGTGTGCGCACTTTGGATGGGTTAAATGCAGAGCACTAATTCCAAGTATGGGTCACCATACTTGGCGTCACGTCACGTCACTTCACTTCACTCTTATTCTTTGTCCATGGCTTCCTCTCCCTCTTCCTCTCCTCTTCCTACAATGTTGCCATCCATTTTTGTTGAAGACAGGTAAATTGACCTGTTACCTTTTTATAGTGTTTACACCTGATTGTTGAGTTTACAATTAAGCACCCAAGTGTCTGCACACCTGGGGCCCGTTTCAATAAGGAGGTTCAACCAACTCTGATTTAAAACTTGAGCTCTGAGTTGACTTACCCTGAGATGGGAAACTTGACTTGAGTTAGTTCAGTCAACTCTGAGTAGGTTGACTCTCCCTGCATCTCAATGTTCATACTATCCATCCTAAATAGTATGTGAGATTAGAATAATTGTGTCCCAAAACATAGTATGTTGAAAAGAGTATGCCAAAAGTCCCTGGATGGTCTACTATATCAGGTCAATTTTTGAAGTGTGGATCCGTGCACAATCTAATGGCTAAAATTGCCCACAATCCATTGTGCTTTGGCGAAGGATTCGGTCCAGAACTGCAAACACGAATAAAACGTGTTAGAAAAACTACAAACGCATGATCGATGGTTAGGTAGAGGCTTACAAAAAGGGGTTTGAGTTACTAATAATCAGTGGTGGAAAGAGTACAGAAAAAAATATACTCAAGTAAAAGTACCATTACCTTCCAAAAACTGTAGTGTGAGTAGAGTAAAAGTACTTGTCCAAAAATCAACTTGAGTAAGAGTAAAAGAGTAGCCTATTTAAAAGTACTCCTGAGTATTGAGTAGCGAGTACTGAGCTGTGGATTCTACCCCCTCATAATAAACGCTGTACACCGCAATTTATACATTTTAAAAACATTGTACATTCTGTAATTCACATTATCTTGTTTGTCATAAAGAATGAAGACTATCTATCATCCAGCAGTTTTAATTTTGACTGCCAACTCTTTAAAATACTTCAAAAAAAGCACAGAAACAGTATTCAGTTGAAGAAAAGATGAAAGTTATTCTCAGTACAATCATCCCCATTTACATCATAACGTTTGAAAAAATAGATTTAAAATCATGTGTAAGGCCACTGAGACAGCACGCTGCTGTTGCACATAAAATATTAATGTTTAGAACAGCGCAAATACAAACACCATTAGAAACTCATAGTTCAGCATCACACACCGTGATATGGGTTAAAATGAGAGCCCATTTCTCTCCAAAAAGGTGCCAGTTTTAACGTTTTGCAATAAAGAAATAAGAATAACTAAACTTCATCATTTGTTACAATTTTAACATAAATGCACATTGTTCTAGAAGGATGGTATCATGCCATACCTATTAGACATTTACTCAAATTGTTATGCTGATAATACAATTTGTAAGGAAAAATGCATTAAATAACGAGGTATTTCTGGGGAAACTTTTTCAAAGGAAAACACACACACTCTTTGCTAAGCCACGGCGGTCTCTGTGAATCAGCAGCATCCACAACTGAACGGAACAAAAAGTGTTGAACTTGAAAATTGTTTATGC